GGAACGTGAACATGCGATGGGGCTCATCCGGCAAGGTACTCAGGTCGATCGAACGTGGAAATGCCGCCGTTACGAAGGGACTATGACTATTGTAGCCATAGCCTGCTGGGTCACGGCGGATCGTCGGAGATTCCTCTTGCTGCTCCCATAAGAGTCAGCATTGTCATTGGCAAAGAGAACAGTGTAGCGTCTGTACCTTTACAAATTGGTCCGGGGCCGGGGGCGGCCGGTGCAAATTCGGAGAAGCGTGAAGCGTGGTTGTTTCGATGTGAAGATCGGCAGGCCGGTCTGGATGACGGGGGGATGGCGATGCATGCTTGGAGTCAGACATATTCTCTTTGATTCGCTGCGATTGTACTTCTTGTGCTTCGGTTGGGGGCTCGGGAATGGTTCGACGACGCTTCGGATTAGGGGGTGTAGGATCATCTGGAGCCCGCTTTTTACATCTCCTTTGACGCGTACCGGGACGCTTGTCTGGACCCCTTCGTTTGGGCATGGCATCATACTCGCACTCGTTATTTCTTCGGAGACAATTGTTGCATTCGGGTCTAGTTGAGTCGCATCGTATTTTGCGTGCACGACTGAGAAGGACAGACAGGGTAAAGGAAGCCCGAAGTTCGTCAGTATACCAATAAAAGGCTTAATGAAAAAAACTAATGAAAAACGGACATACCACAGACGACAGGCTATGACAACAGGTGTTATCCCCTTTCGAGTCTCCCGTGAGGTATTGGCGGCGTTTGATATCGAAGGCTCCGTTCGCTCGGGAGTGACCACGGGACTGGGCCTGTGATCAGCCTCCATGTTCGCGCTGGTCGGTGGTGCAGGCGGTTGCTGATAGTAGGTATGATCATGAGAAGGTCCACCAGACGACGGTTGCCCGGACGGTGTTGGGATGAACCTGAAATTTACAGCGCTCGCAACATGCGCGGTGGTAGGAATACGCGAAGAAACGGATGGATATTGAGTAGGGAAGTTGTGCCCAAGGTGGTAACGGGGTGGATGGTTGTAAGGCGAGAACGTGACTTGTCGAGCGCTTGAGTTCGGAGGCTCTAGTCTGGTATCAAGGATCGGTATCTGTTGCTGTTGGTTCTTGTTAAGACCTTGGGCAAAGTCAAATTGCGGCGCGAGAATTTCCGTTGTAGGAGAGACGTCAACTTGTGGATCATGTTGATACCGGACTTTATTGAGAGAGAAAAAGAAGTTAAGAGAGAACACGGAGACAGATACGATAGCAACGTACAAAACTCACCACCACCCTGCAATAAAGGCATCTGCGGCATCTGAGGGAAGACACCCCCAACCGGGGAATGCAAACCGGATCCGTCCTCGCTGGATGAGGGAATTTCGTCCTGGGGCATTACGAAGCGGAAGGGAGAGTAGATGTCGTCGTGTTCCCTCGTTGAGGCCATGGTGGCAGGAATTAAGATTGGAAGCGGAAGTAGGGTTGGCGAGACTGGGAAAGTGTGAGGGTGGAAATTGCGAACACACACGAGTCTGAGGACAGGAAGGGTTGGCTGGTAAAACTATGTAGTATTGGGGTGCAGGTCCCGGTGAATTGCGACTGTAGTCACCAGTGAGAAGAAAGCTCTGTCCTTGGTCAGAATATTAGGATGGAGTGATCGATTATTTCTCCGTACTCGGCCAGATCCCTGGGTGGGTACGGACTGATCACCCTTGGGACGGCAATTCCTCCTCACCTGATAGCAAGGCGCTGCGTGTCGGAGTGAGCGTTAACAACTGAAGGTTGTTCTATCTGCCCCACCGCACGCCTGGCGGCCACAGTGCTCAGCTAAGCTCTGGCATTTGCGGACGGCAAAATCCCGGAGTGACCGTGAGGATGTAACAAAAACATGCCCACAACATAAACTCTGTTCTAAATTCGGCAGCATCCAGTTCTCTCCACGTGTCTTTAGCTTTCCTCACCGAGATCCCTCTTCCCACGCTACGTCGGATTCCGCACCTGTCCTCGCTTTTGTTCACCGAATTCAAATTTTCCGCGCCCTTCTGTTCAATGCACCTCCGCTCTCCTTGATACATCCAGACCTACCCGGTCATCGAACACCTTGGATGATTTACTCGTCGCCAAGGTCTCTTGTTATATTCAGCCGGAGTCCGCAATCCTCTTCCAGGTCGCCAGGCACCGTGCTGGGTCGTCATGACCCCAGGCACCGCAACTCATAAGTGTGACGTTTTCGATCGAGCATTTGCCAATCGCCTCCCACATGGCATCCCGGCCCACCCATTTGCTCCTATATCATCATCAAAGCCAAGAACGTCCACCAACCAGAACAGAACTCCATGGGTAATGTGAATATCCCGCTCTTCTTTTACGTACTCGATCACGTCTTGTGATCTTTACCAATTCACGGGTTTTCCCACACCCATCCCTGAGCGTCACTTCACAATTCAGGCTTTGGGATCGTCGCTTAGAGACAACTGGGTTTTCGATAGAGGAGGAAGACTGCGGCGGATTGTTAGTTGTGTCAGTGGTACTGACCCAGAGATGAAGGACTTAATTATACTATAATCGTCCGGCTGTGTTCCCGAATCCCTGAACATATTAAAATGGCGCTCAACGTTCTTTCAGGATACTAGATGCATACCGATGCGATCATCAGATCAATGATCAACGTCGATATGTCATAATCTATGAAAACTATATTGTCACATTGCAGCAATGCAATAAGCACGCTCGATGAGAATAAACGAGTATTCCATTGGTTTATTATAATAATCGCAAGCTGCAGCCTGCTGCGTATCAGATCAACTTATTCGCCAGAAGCCAATGGCGATCGTCCTTAGTGACTTTCGAGATTTCTCTGAACCTTTTTGATCTTGTCACCTCTACCCACCAATCGTACACGTAAATGCTAAGAATGGCAAGCATACCAAGTTTGGCAGAAATTTCTGGACTCATACGGCGAGTGTTATTCCCGTTGGAAACTTCAGAAATATGTATGTTTTTGGAATCCTGTGGATACAACGTTTGTTGGGTTATCTGTTTCCAAGCTCTCGAGTCAACGCAGACTTAGGGCGTTAGATCTCGCTAGTGTCCCGGCCCTATAGTATTTTTACCCACCATCACCGGACCTTGAGACGATAAGACACACCTCAAGGAACCCTGAGAGACATTGGACATACAGCGGGAGAAACGAGATCTGTCCTCATGAACGAAGTGGGGGAATCAATTACCGTATGATAGGAGCCCCTTCACGACGGCTTGGAATATTCATATTCTCCACGCTTCTGGCTGTCCTCATGCATTGCAAGTGAGATCGGCTTCTCACCTTTCATTTATGCATGATGATTAGACAAAATACCTCGCTCAGAGAACACGTGCTTTATTTAGACACGACTTCGTTTCGTTCCAGAACAGAAGACTTTGACTCGTGATACCGTCGAAGCAAGCTTACTGCTGGTCTGTGTGAGACCTGTAGCTTCGGAGGACCGTGGAAGACTCGTGTCTGGATCTTCCTTCGCCCGAATGCAAATAGCCTTTCAGGTAACAGTTCCAAAGGAATTGTCCTCATACACACTGTTTTATATTTCTTTAATGGGCGCTCTTCGAATATACGGACGTTTGGGGCAGCCTCAGGGGCCGTTGCCGAGGTTTGAAAATGCCGCCCAAATATGAAGGTTAATTTGCTGCATTGGGAGATAATCTAAATTTCCAAAGGGAGGAACACCTTTTGTGTCTGTGAAGGTATTCGAGGCCCGCTTGTTTGTGAATGGCTTGTGGCAACAGCAATGTCCTCTCGAGTCAGGACTGTGATAACTACGACTCAGGTCCAGACCTTTAGTGGTTACAAACCGAGCGCCAGACCCATATTACCGGGTTCCCAGCATGAACTCACTCATCAGGGTTCTCCGAGACGCCCTGTCCCCGCGTTGACATACTACGCCTAGGCCTCCATACACACCGTACACAAAAGAATCTGTAGGTTGCTGTAAGGGCCCTAAACAAAGGAACTCCAAAGTTGAAACGCGGAAGTACGGGAGAGTCACGCATTGTATTCTCGATGACGGTCTAGTACGTGAATGCTCGCAGCATGGTCAGTTACAGTACAGCCACAACCGTCTGTCACTGTGCCAACTAGGTAAGTGGCGCTATTGTATACTAACGGTTTCAGAGGTCCTGTTTATCGATGCTCATTCGACGTCGATAATGATGTCGAAAGATGAGAAAGATTAAATCCTCTAGACATATATGGTTTAGCCCCTGACGGCCAATCCAATCGCCGCTCCTTCATTCCATTTTCCGCAAGCTTCGGAGTGACCAGCGTTTCCACAGTTGGAAATCAGAGTGGATGACTCCATGACTCGAGGCGACGGGAAGCCGAAGTGGCGCTTACAGTGTGTAAATCTCCTCAAGGCATTTGACTTCGTTTGGTGGTCATTTAGCCCTTATAACGGCTTATGGTAATGCAGGATAGGGTACTGTAAGGACTTGGATGGTGGCAACATGACGCAATCAAGTCGTTTGATTAAAGCCCTTTCCTGGCAACGGTATGAGCGTTTCCTCGGTTAAGAGTGCTACGCTGTGGTTTCTCAAGCCGCAAGAAATGGACTGATAAGAAATTTCGGGTTAGAAACGTTTCAAAACCATTATAACTAAATTCTCAACAGATAAGATCTACTTTAGATACTAACACAATGGTCAGGGGGCTCCGTGGGTCTCCAGTCCTAGTCTCCGCAGCGCGCCGGGTCCACCCAGTTATGGAGATAGGGAAATGGAGCACCACTTTGGAAGGGGTTCTCATTTGTACTGGACTTCTATTGGAGTCTGAAAGTGGTGTTTATTGGCATTAGTACCTTGTTGTATAATGGGTCCTTTATTACTTGCGCATAGACCAACGAGAACACCCGCGACAATTTGTTGCTGGGACCCGTAACATACAAGCGCCTGTCAAACGATGGCCGAATCCATTGACTTGGTGATGGATCATGAGTGGGTCAAGCGCCAGGAGATGTGAGATGCGCGGAGGCGTTACATTTGAGGACCCCTAGCTCAGTGGTAGAGCGTGAGATTCCAGCTCCGAGTTGTTTCCTCAAGGTCATCCGTTCAATCCGGGTGGGGTTCATTATCTTTTGAGGGTCACTGTATTTTATACCCCCTTGAATGACAATTGAACAACGTTATACATGGAAGGATCAGGGTAGTTGGCGGTCCGCAGCTGCTGACCACGACGAATCCCTAGATGCAGGGGAGGCTATGATGATGGCTGCGGCCATGATTCGTAAGGCTCATTTAGAAAATGAGAATGGTCGCCCACGTATATACACGGGACTCCGGGAGCAGACAGAATGCCCGAGTACACGGCCCCCTACGACGTTCGAAATGAACTATGTACATTGAAAACAGTGTATTAATAGAATGTGACATCCCAGTGGGTTCCCTCGTCCTACACATAATAAACAGTCAGTCACCAAGTTCCAAACTGACTAGGTTTATGAATACACACGCAATAGATATTTCCACTTGCAGCCTGCCATTGGGGGTACCCATCACTACGGTCAGCTATCTTAGTGAAATGATTGTGGACATAGTTGTCCAAAGTCGTCGAGTGCCTAATGTCGACTTTATAACCATTGTAGTGACTATAAGTGCCGCTGGCGTGACCGACTTCAGTTCCGCCAGTGATTATGAGCGAGGAGGCACCAGAGGCGTTTTTGAGGGTGATAACACCGTCGACGGTACCGGAGAGAATGCCCTGGTAGGAAGTGCAGGTTGGGTCGGAACGGGTTGTACAGCCGCCACTGGAGGAGGCGGTGATGCCGTTGGGGATGAGGCGAGCCTCGGCTTGGGCCTGGGTTAGGGCTGTGCCAGAGCGGGCCCTGACCTCAGAGGGGAGGACGGCCGAGACAGCGGGTGCAGAAAGGGTGAGAGTGAGGATGGCGGTGAAGAACTGGGAGAGCGGGGCTTGTGAGTCAAAAGTGAAATAAGGGAAGATGAAGCATACCTTCATTGTAGTCTTTGCCAGAGCTGTTGTCACTGGGATGGAACATTTTATGGGGACTTTATACCAAGCTTCGAACGCTAAAGGTCTCCGTTGTCAAGGTCATCGTCGTCGTAATGGCTTCCACACGTTCTAGGTGTCTCGCGTATATCGCTAATGGGTTGATGCCATACGGCCCCCAGGCGAGATGCGCATCATGCGCATGTGTAGTACAAATGTAGTAATAGATTAGTGGGGTGTTGGAAGAAAATGTCTTGTGGTACGGTGATAGAAGAGAACGAACGTGTTGAACCCCTAGCGGAGCATGTGCGCATGGCACGTCACAAGAGTTGAGCGAACCATGAGATGAATTGGTAACGATTGATGTACCGTGCTTCGAGATTAAGCGGGTTCGGGGAACTCCAGGGCCAGTGAACATGAGAAGCGGGACATGAACATGGGCGCCGGAAGTGGGCGCAAGTTGAAAGTATTGACCAGGTTACTTCTCCGTGGACTTCGCCGGCGTACTGAATAAGAAAGAACGACTCGACGCCACGGAGGAAGCGTAGCGACACCGAAAGGTTAACAGCTTATCATAACGCAGAGCACAAGCCACATTAGCAGGTCGTCCTGCCCGAATTGACATCGGGAACCATGATGATCAAGTCAAGATCTCAGCACAGAACATGTTCGATCCGCGCATGTGGATAAGAGGCAGATAGGTGCTCTTAGTAGCGATGGACAGCTCGAAGAGCGGAGGCAGGTGCATGCGGGGGGGAAGCGGAGATGGGGGTCGGTACTAGGAGTGGACGATGGGAGCCTATTTATGGGGAGAGTCGTTAAGGACAAGCGCGAGCGAAGGGGCCCAATATAGTCAAAATATAGATCACAAGTCATTTATAAACGCTGTCGGATCGTCGCTTCTAGTGAGAACGCAGAGGAGGTGAAGAAAATAAGTATATTACGACAGGATTCAGGAGGTGTATGGGTATAAACCTGGCCGGCGGCAGCGCCGACTTGAGGCTATGGATGAAACCTGGGGCCTAACGGAGGACATGTGGGATGAGCGTTGAGCTAAAATTTTCTCAAACACAGTCTGCTCTGCGGAGGAGACTAATAGAGTAGACTAAATATAAGTCCTCAATGAGGGGACAAAGATATGCAGGGCCGGGCGGTGACGAGAAGACACAAAGAGCAGCCACCCGGACGGCGGCCGGGAGTTAGCTCAGGTGGGAAAGGGCCGGTGCTTAGTCAGAATGGATATGATAAATTTGTAGTGGGAAAGTCGGTGGCACAAGGATTGGTCAGCGCTTTCTCTTTCTTCTTTCTCCTCATCCCTTATCCTCTCCAATGGGTTGCGTCCAGTCCACCGCCGTCGATGAAGAGGCAAAAGCCCGTGCGTTTTCCTTGTTTTTCCCTCACAAAATACACGCTGACAACGCGCAGGCAATGATGAGATTGAAAACCAGCTCAAGCGCGACAGGATGATGGCCAAGAACGAAATAAAGATGCTCTTGCTGGGCGCTGGAGAGTCGGGCAAGGTGCGCTCGCAGTCGCTCTCTTCACGCATCTTGTACTTGACCCATTTTTAGTCAACAGTTCTGAAGCAGATGAAACTCATCCACAACGGCGGTTACAATGACCAGGAGAGGGACTCGTACAAAGAAATCATTTTCTCAAATACCATTCAGTCCATGCGGTTGGTTCTTTTCGCAAACACGGTTGTAAACGCGACTGAGTTCGTTTTAGGGCCATCCTCGAGGCTATGCCACATCTTGACCTACAGCTCGCCCCTCCCAATGACGCCCGAAAGGCCACAATTCTCGCCCTCCCCGGCCAAATCGAAGCCGAGGTGCTCCCTCGTGATGTCGTCGATGCTATTCGGAACCTTTGGCGCGACCCGGGCATTAAGGAGGCCGTCCGCCGCTCCCGCGAATTCCAACTCAACGACTCTGCCGTCTATTATTTCAACGTTATAGACCGCATGGCACAGCCTGGTTACCTTCCCACAGACCAAGACATTCTCCGCAGTCGTGTCAAGACGACCGGTATCACAGAGACAACCTTCAAGGTTGGCGAGCTTACATACAAACTTTTCGACGTCGGTGGTCAACGGAGCGAGCGCAAAAAGTGGATTCACTGTTTCGAGAACGTCACCGCCCTTGTCTTCCTTGTCAGTTTGAGTGAATACGATCAGATGTTGTATGAAGATGAGAGTGTGGTAAGCATCCAGCGTCGCTTAGTCGGTTCCCACGTTCTTCAACGTTTTCATTTCTAGAACCGTATGCAAGAGGCACTTACGCTCTTTGATTCGATATGCAATTCGCGGTGGTTTGTCAAGACTTCCATCGTATGTTTATCCGCCGTTCCCATCAACCAGCACTTGCTCACCTCGTTTGGTTGTCAGATCCTCTTCCTAAACAAGATTGATCTGTTTGCAGAGAAACTCCCCCGGTCTCCATTGGGCGATTATTTCCCCGATTACCAAGGTGGCGACAACTACGACGCTGCTTGTGACTATCTGTTGCATCGCTTTGTCTCCCTCAATCAAAGCGCTGCCACAAAGCAGATATATGCCCACTATACCTGCGCTACTGATACCAATCAGATCAAATGTACGCACGATGCTTCTATTTGTTTCCACTGGATACTAAAATACCCCGTTTGCCCATTAACAGTCGTCCTCAGCGCCATTCAGGACATTCTTCTTCAACTCCATCTGCGGGAGTGTGGTTTGCTGTAACAAACGGTTGTAATGTCCTTGTACTATCGTCTCTCTCGATTGGCCACCCCACGTCCCAGATACGACCCGCACGATCAACGCTATCTGCAACAAACCTGCTTTCACTTAGCCCATTCCCACATCGTTCCCTACTCTTCCATCTCCCTGACGCCGATCCGAGCCTGTTGATGATAGCTTTCCTTCCAAGGGTGCTCTCTTCTTGCTCCGGGATTTTATATATTGTCTCAGATACCTCTTTATTTCCGCCTTAGTGTACCCCCTTCGTGTCCATATAACTTCCAACCGTTGTCGCTCCCTTATTCCCGCATCGACGACAATTTTATATACCGTCTACTATTAATCAAGTCTTACTTTTCCGCTCTCTCTTTATGCTGTTTTTTTTTGTTGATACTTATCACAGACTACAATTTTGGAGAATAGCCCAATCCGACGCTCGTTTTCGGGAGTGTTGTGAAATGCGAGATCTACAGATTACATGTTGTCAATCCATATGACCTTGGCATCACCGACTGTGGGAGCTGTTATGGAAGAGTGACAAGTGTACCTCGATTATTTCCAATGTGCGATCGACCGGCCATTGTCGAGAGGGTCATCGTGCCTCGCTCAAAGGGATGGACGCAAGCGGAAGAAAGGCCATTATGTTACTAGCCACGTATAGGAGCTGTGTTATCCACTGTGGCGTTGGAACGTGGAAATTCGAGTGCGTTCCGCTGTCCGATCTATGGGGGTATGGTCTCGGCAGTGCTCGGCAATGGCGGACTCGCCGGCCGTTGATGGGGAAAGTTTGACAGGGATGTGATGATCTAATTTTGGTCCCACCGCAACTCGAACGAGCTGTATGGCCTGGTTTGGTGGCGTTTCTGTCGTGATCATCTGATTCTTTGGGGTTGGATCAATAAGATCTGCTATTCTGGACGGGCTTGATATTCGCTTCATCGTCGTCGTTCTACATGCTTCGAAGTTGAGCCTCAATGTTGGAGCGAGGTCACAGGTTCATGGGAATCCGTGTGAGTATCTCCGTGTGATGTATTTGTGGGTGGGTCGGTCTTCGGGAGCGAAGTTTGTGTCATGAAGGGTGCAATGGTTGCTGTTGGATTAAGCTTAGTTGGGGGGGGGTGATACTGCATGGTTGCTAGGCATCCGACTCCGAGTCGCAATGATCGGTTGTCACTTCATTGCTGACTCACGACTCGGACTGTGAGGTCTGGTAAGGTGGCCCATGGAGGTCCAAGTTGGAGAGGCCACGTCCGATGGATGTATTCGCGAGAATTGAGTCCTGTGACAGACTAACTAAGGGGCTAGTAAAGGATTGGCCGATCTTGATATATCAGGCCGATATTGACGCACTTGAAATGCTGTTTTTGCTTCCCCGAGAAAGGCCGCATCACTTCGTACCGATCGG